GAGCGTGCACGCTCAGAGTGAGAGAGATGCCCTCCAACAAAAAATTCAACTGTATCTTTTGATTCGAGAAAATATAACAAAGAGAGTGTTTTGTCTATCAATATTGGGTTAATAGTACTTTTGATCCCTAAAATATATATTTTTTATTAATGTAATCTTTAATGTATTAATTTTATCTATTTGATCCCTAAAGTATTCAATTCATGTTATTTTGGTCCTTACATAGATGGACCGTTGAGTTTTTTGACAGAAATAATTACGTGTCATTTTTTATACGATATCATGTACCCAACATATGATCATTCAATCAAAAATTTAACGGTTCATCCATGTATGGACCAAAATAACACAAATTAAATATTTTAGAAACCAAATTGACAAGATTGATACATTAAAGACTAAACTGATAAAAAATATATATATATACTTTAAGAACTAAAACTACCATTAACCCTAACTTTTTTCTTTTTGGTCCATCTCTTTAAGAGTAAATGATTTACATCATACGTTTATATCAACTACAGTCACATAGTATGGAAATTAGTTGTTTATATAGGTGCCTTAGCAAATAAAATATAGTTAATTAGGCTAGGATCCCCCCTTTGATTTGTAAACTAATTTTAGTCCAACCGTATTTTTAGTATAAAAAAAAGTTCTCAGCATATTTAAAAAAATGGGATGTGGTCTTTGTGTAGGCGCATACGTGAAAGGTTGGGTAATCAGTGAGTTTTCATTACCCATATTGTCATTATCACATGATTTTAGCCTAAATTTTCTCTCTCTTATGCTTTCATGTATATATATAAATATAGATGTGTGTGCACCTACTTGCTCACTTGAACACAAACACTCGGTAAGGATCAATTGTTCAAGAAAAGGAGGTGTTGCTCATTTTAATTGTATTTTAGTGTATATGTTTAATGATCTGTGTTTATGAGGGATGTTAATGACTTATATGACAATCTATGTACCTATCTGATGACCTATATGACAATCTTTTTATTAATTTTATTTTAGTATATCTATCTGACGATCTATGTTTTATAGAGAAAAATATATATTTTTATGACATAGGTTTTTTGAATATGTGTTTCAATTATGTGATGGCATTTGTCATTATTTTTGCAATTTTTAAGGGGTATTAGTTATGTCTATTATTTTAATTTTTTAACGTTGACCTAATTCAAAAATAAATTAGCAAGTGAATTGTTTTGGAATTCTAATAGATCTAGGGACCGGCCTAGCAAAAAAAAAATGAGTGTACGTAGATCTCTCCACCATTGAGAACCATGTTAGAACCCGAATACTAGCAAGGATCAGGGCAGTCATTAGGGCTGTCCATGGGACGGGCTAGCCCGTGCCGACCGAGACCCAAAATTTGAGGCCTTACCCCGCGACTTCACTTGCCCAAATCTTAGCATTGATATCTTAGGGACCAAGTTGGGCCCAACCATCAAACCGACTGGGCAACCCGAATACCCGCCTGCTATTAACCTTTCTACTTGAACCGCCCAGCAGCCGCCCGAAATATGTAAATTTTGATCCTTTCTTCCAAAAAAAAAAGTGTTAAAAAAAGAGTCAAAGTGACACTTTTCACCCCCAATGGCTATAAAGGACTAATTTATGGGCCCAATTTTATAATTTTCAGGAAAATCATAAAATCATTTTCAATAAATTCTCTATTCTCACTCAAATCTCTATCTTAGTGAGTTAACTCTTAAAAATCTATTTCTAATAGACTTTCTATTTAAGCTAGGTATAATAGTGAGTCTAATTTAACTCTCTATATTTGGAGAGTCAAACTCACCCTCTATTTGATCATTAATGAAAGATAAGATAACACTTATACATTTTTCATTAAATGAAAGATGTATGGGGATAAAAAAACACCTCCTAAGCTTTGGTAAAGAATTAACCTTCTTGGAAAGTGCTTCTTTCCTGTAGAATGCCTCCTGTACAAAAGAACAAACTGTCTAGAACCGAAATATTTCGATCGAAGACACTTCGATATTTAAATCAATAATTGTCTATAAAAAGAAATGTATATCAAATGATTCAACGTACCTTTTGATGTGCATTCTTGTTACTTTATATAGGTTTCATCTTGAGTCGGTGATTCTCTTTACATTTGTGGGAGATGGCACGTCTCCCTTTCTTTGGGATCATTTCTTGGGAGTTATGCAGAAATCTATTTAACATTCCCCAATCACAATTCTTTCGAGAGATTGACTCCACCTAGCTGTTACACTTAAATGCTTTGATTATAGGCAATTGACTCGTTGTGCGCTTTATGCCACGCCTTCAGGTCGTGTTGTGTTCTCCTGTTCTGCATCATATGCCAAGTTGTTGCAACTCAGTTCGATTGCTCCAAATTGCTGATACTTTTACGCACGTGACATGTCTCTTCATAACCACATGCTTATTTTACCAACTAATCCATGTGGCATAATTTTATACCCCTTCAAAAGACTATTCTCCTGTTATAATAGAGAGTCTATTGGAGTTGTCTAAAATAATTTACTTTCTATTTCAAAATTTTATCAAATATGCTCTCTATTTTAAAAATAAAAGATTCTCCCCAAAATAAGAGTGTTATTAGAGATGCTCTAAGAAATTCATTTTAATACTAACTGTTGTAAACATTTAGTTTGAAAGATAAGCTTACTAATTTGCCAACCAAACCCCTTCGTATAAATAGATACTATCATTTCATCCCAACTCACCAAATTTACAATCCCTCACTATTAAATCTCGGTCGCTCTGGTGTACTCTATCACACCATTAATCATCTATTTAGTCTCTATAAAATAGAGCTTTTCCCCAAACCCAGCCTCCCCCAAATTTTTATTCCCAAATCCAGTTTGTTTTAAACTTATTTTTTAATCCCAATCTTTTTTTTAAAACGTCATTCCAAACGATGTCTTTAAGGGTTAAAACGTCATTTGAAATTACGTTTTTAAAGGCGTCAGTGAGAACGACGTTAAAAAAAATGAATTAAAAACGGAATTGATGGGTAGAAAACGTCATTGTAAATTAAATTTTTTTGCGACTTTATAACCCCCAACTCTGAGACGGTCCAAAAACAACTCTCTAATTCCCTTGCTATGGTTGCAATTCATTCCTGATGGACTCAAAAATCTGAACAACCTCAGCCATGTTTGGTCTCCTCGAAGGCGTTTCAGAGAAGATGGTTGAGTTGGAGGAGTAGTTGATGCTGGTGGGACAGCAGAGGGTGAAGAATTTGGAGGTGGTGATGTTGTCTCCATCAAATCAGTATCCAATTTTATGAAGAAAGTTTTAAAATGTCATCAAAATGTGCAATCTCCATTGATAAATTTCACCAAGATTCTCACAATTGATACTCAAAATACAAATCGACAGAGACTTGTTTCTATTTTATAACCAAATCCAAATCTATAAACAAATGAAATTGGTTTCCAATCCACCAAAAGTATTATCCCAAACTTTGAATTCGTCCAACACCTCTGGCCCAAACATAGATATCAATCAATTTCCAAAGACAAGTAATTGCACAATGCCAAATGTTTCAAGCTTCTATTGAAATCCACCCAAAACTCACTAGGCACCTGTCCAAACTCAAATTTTGCTCAGAACCCAGTAAGCAATTCTGAGTTTAATACAACAACAATTCACCCAAAATCAATGAACGTTCATCCGCCAAAACCCAATTCATCATACTGTCGAACCCAAATCACAGAAGCCTCGTCAGATGCAAACCCTAAAATATCACACACAATTAGAGAAAACTCGATCATGAAACACTAGTAGAATGGTACTCCTTTATCTTCTTGAGATTAAGGGTTCAACCCTCTCCTATTCCCCAAAAAAAATAAATAAAAAAAAAACTAGTAGAACAAAAGCCAGATGACAGAACAGGTTTGTGCCAAAAATCCCAGACCATCAAACACATTTTGCGATTTAGAAAAGTTGGGGTCTGGTTATAAAATCACATAAATTGTCATTTTAAATGATATATTTAAAAACATCATTATAAATAACGTTTTTTACCCATCAATTCATATCGGTGGGGATAAGGGGTGATCAATTTCCACCCCTCGATATTACTTTTACTTTTGAAGATGTCTAAGCCCCTAGTAAGACTGAAATTGACAAAATAAAAATAAAATAAAATACTAATTTCTTTTCTTCCCTTCCTTTAATACATAATTTGAAACTAATTTTTATCCATTGTTTTTTAAAATAAAAATAGACAAACTTTTCTCAAAATTCATAACCTCAAAAAAAAAATTAACATGTATACACTATCGTATATAAATAACATACAAAATAAAAATTGTATTAAACCACAAATTAATTACTTAAACCTTTTTTTTTTTTTGGTCTGGAGATTAATCTTAACTTGTTAGGATCAATTTCATACGTTTGGATGTCATTGAACTGCAATTTTGATCTGCACTGAATCATAAGTTGATCTTTGGATTATTTTCTTGTTCATTGCTTGTCCTATGAGAAATATTGTTGGGTCAAAGCTTGGCTCAGAGAAAGATATACATGTATATATATATATACATACATACGCATTTGAATTTTATATTCACATATTTTTTTAGTCTATTTTTATCGCATTACCCATTGTTATCATAACCCGAAGTGTTGTAACTTTGGCGGTGTGAGATATAATTTGAACTGGTTATAAATTCCCTGAAATTAAACAACAACAATCAGTGAAAAAATGAAGCCCATCGGGCTCAGCACGAACCATTACCTGAATTTTATAAGATACATAATATAATTTATTACCATTTTAGTGTACACACCTTTGACAGTAGTCAATGGTTACAAATTCACAATATACATAGGACCAACTAAATTGGTGATTTACAATTTTGGATGATTTTCAATTTTTGATAACGTAAATCATCATTCCATGGTAAAAATAAGCTAATGAAGAAATTATTTCCACAACAGCTACAATTGGCAAGCTTATGTACCAAATTTCGTGGGATGTGATAAGTTCCTCAACGGGCAGCAACTACGTTTTGAAGCAAAGCCTCCAGGTCATTCAATCTGCATTGATTCCATGAACAATCAGTGGGGATGTCAAGTTAACAGAACTAAATATCCGTCTTTATAAGGCAAGGATCAAATTTCGTTTCAAATCGGTCGAAACTTTCCATTTGCAATGATAGCGAAACAAATCAGTAGTTAAATCAAAATTCTAATGTTTTGAGCTATTTCAAGATATTCCGTTATATCTTAACCAAAGCTTTAAAAATGGTTGAAAATAAATTCTCAAATTTTTTATTCGCTTCCATTTTATTTTTGAGATGTTTTCATCTCCTATATGACCAAAACAGTTCACCAGAATAAAATTTTGATCTTTAGTACAAAGTGAATGACATCATACCTCACATCACTCAGATCAGGGTAAATTGCAACTGCATCTTTAAAACCCTGTTAAACCAGACAATACCTCACATATCAATAAAATTGTTGTTATCAAGTGCCAGCAATGCGCAGTTATTATGTGTAATAATCTTGTCGTGGTCCCCAGGCCTACTTCCACAGAGAGTTAGAACTTACCTGGTTAGCCGTTGATGATGTATAGGTTATAATACATGACATCCCCGCACTGGTCGCTGCCTGCAGAGTATGAGCCTAGTTTTAGTCTGAGAGTCAAACAAATTTTGGTTCTAATAAACTTAAGAGGGGTGAATTTGAATGCTTTGTCCCAAATGCATGGCCAAGACCCATTTCCATTTCTGGTTCATTCAAGACAAGAATCTGACAGACGGTTATCAGATCTTGGGAAAGCAGATCTTGATTTAGTTTTGAGGTCTTCACAATACAATCAAAATGCTATTGCAATTCAAGGATTTTGTTATTCCTAAAATCAAACATTGTATAACAATCATAAATTACGAGATCAACCTGTAGCCCAATGACACTATCCTCCACCACTAAACAATCTCTCCCAGACACACCTAGCCTCTGCAGGGTATTAGATTTAACAGATTAATAATGGAATGCAGGCAGCATGGTTGGTAATCAGCAGCTTGCACTTACAAAAAGAAAACATCTGAGTACCTTACCTTAGCTGCTGTGACATAAATTGATGGATCAGGCTTCTTTTCCTTCACATCGTCACCTACAAAAAGGAAAGAAAACCTAATACAAAATATCAAAAATAAATGTTAGTCAACTATTTAGGCTGGACTATCTAACAATACCTGTGTCTGAGAAAAATAAGATATTTCTGCTCAGTAGAACTCATCACTCCACCTTAAATTCTAGTAATTAGGTCATTTTCAAATTCCAAGTAAAATTGATTATCATCATAAGATCAATTTTCAAGATCCTAACACCATCTCCAAGTGTGAGCATGCATTTCTTCTTAGCCACTAGACAGTTTGGGTTAAATACTTAAAGGTGGAAAAGAGAAGCAGCCATCCAGGTAGCGCATGCTTTTTGCTAAGCCTTATTATGCTGGCTCCAAAACTCAGAATATTTAGAAAATGATCAACAGCTCTAAATAGCTTACTCAAATAATTTGGAGTGACATCAGAGAATACTTCTAGCTTCTATCATTCGTAAGGCCTCAATTCTTACCAAGTATTCTCTACCCTAGTTCAAGTCCTGTTTGGGCTTTCTGCTGTCCTTGCCCCTACCTTAACCCAACATAACATACCTTCCCAGGGTACTTGAGAGAGCATCTCCCACAGGTACGGTACATGATAAAAGCTAAATATGTTTAACACTTCTTTAATATCCGATAATAAAATAAGCATCACTTAACAATTGACTACAATTCTCAGTCGCCCACCCAGAGGCAGATTTGCAATAGCTGCCCCACTGCAATTTAGCAAAATTCCGGGACATAATTAAAACTTTGGAAAATTTATAAATTCTTAAAAGTTGCCCCCATTGAAAGTTTGTAAAACATATGGGGTTAGTTTTTTAATTTGGAAACTAAATCGTCCTTAAGAAATCCAAAAATACACTTGAAAGTAACACATCTCACCTCTCTAGTCTCTCCAGATCTCTTCCTCCCCTCTTCTCTGTTCAGTTTCCAACCGAACCAGTCTACTAACATAATCCCACATTCTACAGAAACTATTTATCACCACCTTGCGCCTGTGTCTCTTTCTGTTCATCCTTAGGCCGATCATCTTGTAAATCCGGCCATGGTAGCCCTAGAAGATTCTATTGGAGCTATCAAGTAGTCATTACCCATTAACCAACGGGCCTTTGGTCCAATGGTACTCCTTATTTTATGAAAATTTTGTCTTCTTAAGGTCAAGGGTTCAAGTTTCCCTCCACCAACCCCTCCCCTCCCGTCCCCTCCCCTCCCATCCCAAAAAACAAAAGTCATTACCCATTAAAGATTTGTTAGATTTATATATATTTTGTGAGTTATTCAATTTTTTTATCCTACGGGAGGAAGACATGGTTGTCTATGAGAAGTCGTAACTACTTGCTTTTCAAACCGTTGTTTGCCTATTAAGTGTTTGTTAAAAGGCAACCGAGAAAGATCATGAAAAATGGAGTATAGGATGTGCAAATCATTAACTATCATTATCTGTGAGTTGTAAACAATTAGGCATTGCACTAGATCAAAAGTGCACCCTCCTCTTCAAGCAAACTTTATTGTGCATCATTAACTCACGTCTCCTGAATATGGTTACTGTAACATTGCAGCAACTTGTGTCGATGAAAAACACTTTGGAGTGTGAGGAGAACATTGAGAAGTTTTTTTTTTTTTTTTTTGGTTCTCGACATTAAGGAGTTTGATATTGTTAAATGGGTTTATTCAAATGGTGTCACAGTTATCTATTTCTAATCCGATCCAATTGAATGGCTTATTGTCCTAACAGGTTTTTATTGTTGTTTGTTTTGAATCGATCGTCTCGACAACTTGGATAGGGCAATGCTCTGTTTCTTACCACTGATTATTTATTTTGATTGCTTACTTAAAGTTTTAGTTCAGATTACATTATTTGGAATTCACCTATTCTAGATTATGCTTGTATTAAAGTATTTTGATTGATTATAAATGGACTCAAATAATTTGTTTTTGATTATTAAATTATTCCTATTTTCTATAAAGGTTTATGATGTGAGCTTTTTTTGGCTGTTGCCTCTTTTTGTACATCACTCATGTATACGGGTTACATCTCCAAGTAATGTTAATTTTAATATAATTTTACTTATAAAGTTAATAAATAATTTATTAATGAATTTTAGATCGCCCCCACGGCAGAGAAATCTTGGCTCCGCACCTGCGCCTGCACCCACCCCTTATTGTTGAACATGAGAAATACTCATTAAAAGAGGGTTTTATCACTTTTCCTGCAAGAAATTTTTACCCTCAGTTGTTTCAATCCACTGTTTAAGCTGATGTATAAACCAGTTGTATGTCTTTTCTTATTAACCGATGATGAAATGCGTAGCCTAATTACACAATTTTGATTTGAATATGTTTTCTGGTGATAGAACTTTTGAGTTTAAAATAGCATTTGATCACATATTTGTAGTCAGTAATATCTTGAGCTTTTGTCCTGCATGCAAGGTGTGGCTTCCAAGTAAATTGATGCTGAAGATTCTTTCCTTTTATTTGTTATGTAAATATTATTTCTTATTTGGTATACATGAATATAAATTTCTATTGATATGTTGCTAGAGATTGTTGCTTTATTCTGGTGATGCTGTTTGATGGGGTCTCTGAAATTTCGGCCCAAGCCCCAGGTATGCGAGATTTTCAGATCCGATGTTAGAGTTAGTTTTGTAGATTGGGTCTTCTAATCAAATAAAGAACAAGGAAGATAAGTGGTTCGCCTCAGCCGATAGGCCGAGGGTACGTCCACTATAATGGAGTCTCTTGCTCTGTCTAGTTGTGTATTTAGTTTTTGTTGATTACAATCGAGTTGCAGACTTTGGGCCATTAAAGGGAGAGTGGGTTTGATCCCAGAGTTCCTATTCGGTTTTTTCGAGAGAAGAGATCCCCCTTCTTGGTAAGGCACTGTTCTTTATATATAGGTCGTTTCTCTTAGAGTTCCTTGTGGTATCTCTTGCATTTTTGTTGATTCTGTGGGGACCTCCTGTCCTTATCCTGCAAAAACCTTTCTCCATCATTCCCCCAGTACCCACGATCTATGACCTTAAGCTCCACCATCCTCTGTGTCCGGAAATGCGCAGCTGCCGCTATTTCAGAGATGGTCCCCTTGTCCTATGGACGCATGGCATGCCGGGGTCATTTAGGGCCGAATGATCCATTTCTTCCTCGGGCTATTATTAGGCTGATCCTTGATTGGGCCTGGGCTGAGCTTTTATCTTTCTAATCCCCACTAGATTTTCCATGGTTTCGCTGGGCTAATCCAGGATATTCTTTTTGGGCCGTGAGATTTTTTGGCCTGTAATCGTGGCGGCCCATGCTCAAAATTCCACCCTCATTACTGTTAATTGATACTTTTCTATGTTTTGGTTTTGGCTAATTGGCTTGATTGGATCATGGCAGTTTTGTGGTTTAGGGATGTTGATTTTGAATGTTCTTGTGGAAAAAAAGAAAATTACAGAGATTCAATATTTGACATTTCTGGGGTTCCTTATGGTTTTGTGCTTATATAATCTGTTGGCTAAGTTGTGTTGAGGTCAACTAATGGGGTGAACCGAAATTTGATATCCCACTTAAGAGATGCTAACGCTTCTCAATTGAATTTGCAGATTATTTCCCGATGACGGGCTTAAAACAGGGAAGAAGCATGTGCTGAACATTAAAAGGAGAAAGTAGCATTATAAACTCATGGCAACAACGAGCAGCACAATGTTGGCTTGATTCCATAAGTCTGGAATGGAGGCAGAGCAACGGAATCGAGCAATGGTCAGAACATATTGAAAATAAATATCTTGAAGCTAAAACACACAAAATCATTTGCTGCTGTCAAGGAGCACTTGCAAAGTATTGAATGTAAGCAACAAAAGAAGGTACTAGTCATTGTGAAAGCAATCAGGAACCTTGTTCATAGATTTTGACAGGAGTTGACACAGAAAATGGAACTAGGTACACAGCATGAAGACAATTTAAGAAGCTCAGAAGCAGGAGGGAAATCAAAGTTTTATGTCAACCTATGCAGGAAGATTGTAATAGGTAATGTCATAAATTATGACAGATGACGTCTTTTTAGTCATCAGTAGAACAAGAACTAATTTAATTAGTATTCTTTGCAAATTTTGAATGTAATGTGATGATTACGATTACAATATGTATTAACAATCACCTAGTGATTGCTATATATTTTCAATGGCGGAAGGGTAAAAATGAAAAAATAATAATTTGCATACTTCAGTTCCTTGTGTTGATCAAACAACCTAACCAAATTCAGCATTTAAAATTCAGTACATAGAAAAAAAATTCAAATTACAAAATTCAGCCATTTTATTATCTTTGGCACTTGAAATTTAAAAATCAGTTCTCAATACTTAATTTTCAGTTTCTATGAAACAGCACCTCAACTCATCAAGAATGATTACTGTGCACATTTGAATATTGGATCCCTAAAAATTGAGTCATAAACAATAAGAACTCGAGTAGGTCAACATGCACCAACATTTATTGCAATCAATTGAACATGAACAATCATATTGAATAGACCACTATTCATAGACAAGAAATGGAGGCATATTGGATCAAGTTCCCAAATGAATGGAAAAATGGAAAGCAAATAATATGACAAATGGAATATCAACTGGTGAGTAAAGAGAATAAGTTATCTTTGCAGGTTATAAGTGTCTCTATGCCATTCGGGGATCAACACAGACATACATGAATGTTCAAATTTGAGACAAGTGCCTGACACAACTGGTATAGAACAATCATATCCCTAGACTGTTCAACTTACCAGCAAGGAAGCAATCAAGACTTTGGAACCGCTCCTATAACAAGAGTAAAACATTAAGCTAGTAAACCATGGAATCGATAAATAGGAAAAATACTTCAGAAAAGTAATGTTAGAGGAAGTGCTCACAACCCCGATAAGGTTTTCAAGACACAGTATCACTGAACTTTTAGTTGCAGCAGAGCAAACAGCTAGTTTTTTACCCTGTTACACAAAGATAAAGAATGTAGAGTGTATTACAAACCTCCTTGATGAGAAAGCATATGAAAATGGAAATCTTCCCATAGATCAGTGAACATGAAATAAAATAAATTTTGGAATAGAAGATTAACACTCTCAACTCCAATAACTTTTGGCCTATACCAGCAGTAGAATCCAACACAGCTGTGGATAAATAGATGCATATAGGAGTAAAGTACCAAGTACCATAACAGTATGATAGGTGCATTATAATGTACATAGCTATCTTACAGCAGCCTTCACGTCATCCATCAATCTCAAAACTCCCGGTCTAGGCTCCACCTGATCAAAGCAATAACCACCAATTGTCCTTATAATTACTCATCAAGCACAGCCACTAATACAAAGAGAGCAAACAGTAATCACAATTTAAAAATAGACATATATGGCTCCTTACAGTTCCAGATTTGATTATTTCTTTGTACCTTTCAGTCTTCCAATCCTGCAAAAGCCATCAAAGAACCAATACATCGCTCTAATTGAGAATAAAGGTCAAAAAGCACTCTTCAAGTGTCCAAACTTAAGAAAGAAAATTACAAACGAACTCAGACAGCTTCCGGTTCATAGCAAAACAAATAATCCCAAAAATATTGGGAATATATCACCATTTATACATGTACAGCACTCTAACTGAGATTGCGAATCCAGAATATCTTCAATTATTCCAAAAAGCTGTGAATTTAGTGTCGCCCTTCCCCTAATCGTGTATTGAACACAACAACTATTTACTAGACGAATAGATGTATGTGTATGTTCTCCGTGTGTGTAAAAGGACTAGATTCACTTAACTTCATCAAGACCTCATTCCACGAAGCGAAATTGGTACCTGAATAGTGTCAATTAGCTTTGCTTTAGCATCATCATCCTCAGGAGGAGCCTGAAATATTGTCGAAGAAGGCCAACCGTGCTCCTTAAAGTACCTTATCATTCAAATGCCGATCAACAAATCAAAAGCAATACAGACATATATACAAACACTATAAATATGTATGTATGTATGCTGGTAGGTAGCAAGAGAGAACGGAACCATCGCATTTTGGGTTTGCCACCGCCGATGCGGTTCTGGAGCTCGTCATAGAATTCGAGACCCCAATTGAGGGGCTGAGAGGAGGAAGAGGGGCAACGGACATTGAACTGAGAGAAAGCGTCATTGTATGCTTGGCGGTGCAAGTGCTCGGACTCTAGAATGACGCCATCACAATCGAATATGATAGCTTGAAGTGAAGGCGAAGAAGAAGCTGAAACTGAAAGCGACCTTGAGGAATAAGAGAGAGAGGATGTTCGGGTGGTGTTGGAAATTCGGAGAGAGAAGATAGGGTTGCTAGATGAGAGAGCGGGACTGAGTGGTAAGAGTGGCATCGAACACGACGCCATGGTTGATCTGTATAATCTCTCTCAGGGGGTGTGTGTGTGTGTGTGGCTTTGCGATATTCTGGCGGGTTTGATTCGTGTGGCCAGACGCTAAATTTTAATAATTTGGGTAAAAAACACGGAAAGCCTTTGAGTTTTAGTAATATTATAAGAACACCCTTTGATATTTTATAAATAACATAAAGATCTCTTGAGATTTGAAGCTTATTACACGGAAATTCCCTCTGTCTCCCTTCCATCTAGGGGTGTTTAAATTTTTGATTGGCTGAAATTTTCTATCCTACCCGACCCTACCCTATTCTATTAAACGACTAGTCGTAAGAATCAGGTAGAAATACAGAAGAGTTTTTGGTATTTCGATTAAATCGAGTTAGAATGCAGAATAGTCATCAATTTTCATATTCATATCCTACACGCAATAATTAATTTATATATATATTGAGTCTTGTTCGAGCGCCTCACACGATCACACCTCACTCCATTCCTCCTTCATCGTTCAGTCCCATTCTCAAGCATTCTCTTTTTCTCTCTCTCTACGCGATCTGGTGTGGTCTGGTTCTTTGTTGTCATTTTTCACCTTTTTGGGGTTTGATGTATGTTTACTTGAAGTTACAAAAACTACTTATTTTGGATGTGAGTTTTGTTTGTTTATTGTTTAAAAGCTTATTTTCTTGAGAGCCTTTGGTCTACTTTCCAATGTCAGTTGGGGCTTGAGCTTCAAAGCTCGAGTGTCAGATGGGGTAGGGTAGGCCAATTATGTAATAATTAAAATAATTGATATTGTATTTGTATAATAATTATAGTAGATTGATATTCACACTTTCTTGTGTTTTATTATAATTGTTGTTATAGTTGTTTTAGATTTTAGTGTTGTTAATATATTGTCTTGTTAAATTGGTGCATGTTATTTAATTAAATTGTTAAAATGATCCAAAAATTAATAGCTACAAAATGTTTATCCAACTTTCTACTCAATTAATCGGATAGAAAGTCGGATAGAAATACCACACCTGATCGGATATGGTAGGCTAAGAAAAAAATTTTCCGTAAAATATCGGGTAGAAAGACGGAAGAACATATTATCTACCTAAGGTAGGGCAAACACCCTACTTCCATCAATGTTACTAATGAAAGGATGATTTCTTCCCAAAAAATTTTATTATTTTGGTACTCAAAAAAATTAAAAATTTAATAAAATCAAACAAAAATTTTATATAGTACCACAAAAAATTGATTAAATGAATTTTAATATTAATTTGATAATAATTAAAACTAATTTGATATTATTTCAACAAAGTTGAATATAAATTGGATAAAATTAAATGTCAAATTGATAAAATTATATATTAATTTTCAATCTAAGGTTCATTTTGTGTTAAATATTATTTGGTATTGATTAAACTAACATGAAATTGACATTAAATTATAATTTTTTATTGTATATAAACTTAAAAAATTATATTTTAACGCATAAAATTTAAATACAATTTTTTTAATCTAAGGTCAATTTCGTGTTGATTTGATTAATAACAAATAATATTCAACAAAAAAAAAATTTAGATTATAAAATAATATTTAATTTTATCAAATTGACATTTAATTTTATCAAATTAATATTCAACTTTTAAAAAGTATTTTGGTTTGTTATTTGTAAAAACCTATTCGCCCACCAAAGTAAATTATTGGCAGCTTAATAAGGGCTATTTATTAGGAGAGGGCAATGCTAAAATATTCTCAAAATAAAGTTTTTGTGGATGAGAGTTTTGTGAAAAACTCATGTTTTTTGAGAAGGAGCAATGGTGCCCTTAGCACCAATCCCACATCAGGAATGTTGAAAGTTTTTTGGGCATATAAAGGATAGTATAGTAAGTACACCTTCTTTAGTATAAAGGCTCCACTATGCACCGTCTGTGCACACCCTTGTCCACGCCCTCGTCGTGGGGTGCAATGTGGTGTTTTGATGCTCACTTTGCACTTAGCAGATGGGTTGTTGGGCGCGATGGCGCCTGCATGGCGCACTTCACACACACGTATGCGGGTACGAATCGTATTGATCGGTCTAAATGTCTCTCTTTCCTACACAACATTTTGTTCATTTCTTTTGGATTTCTAATTTGCAGCACAATTAGAAATTCCAGTTTAGCAATTTCACTATATTTCAGTAGGTATTGTATATTGTTTTCATCAGTGCAAAGACGCAAACAAATTAAGGTTTCATTATATCTTGAAGATAGATTTGTTGATTTTCCATTTGCACACCTTAGTGAATCTGGTAGGGACAAATACTTTTTTTAGAAAGGTGTTTCTACACAACTTGAAGTGTTTCATATTTGCGTTGAAGTTCAAGACATCCAATTCCGTTCAGCACCAAACAAGAAGAACCAGCATATTTTTTTTCTAAAAATCAAAAAATAGTATTTCTTCACGGATTCATTGTTTTCAAAGTCACTCTGTCACATGACGAAAAATTTCATCAACTTGGATCGATTTGATGATGAAAATTTCCCCTGTTGGCAAAGAAAATTGTAATTTTTTACTTACTACATTGAAGATTTCCTATGTGTTGTCCACGCCAAAACTCGTAGAACAAGAAAATGAAACAATGGCCCAAAGCACAAAATCGAGCAAAATGGGAGCAAGATGACTATTTGTGCTAGGACCACATTCTGGATGCTATGTCCAACTCCCTATTCGATCTTTATCAAGGAATGGGATCTGCCAAGGAGTTATGGGACAAGTTGGAGGCTAAGTATCTCGCCGAGGATGCAATGAGTAAAATGTTTATTGTCGGTCAATTTCTAAACTTTAAAATTATAGATGATAAACATGTGCTAGATCAATTTTATGAGATTTAATGTATTCTAAATTAGTTTAAACAAAAGAAAATGAATATGGATGAATCTGTTATTGCATTTGCTATCATTGAAAAACTTCCTTCAGCGTGGAAAGATTTTAGGAAAAATCTTAAACATAAAAAAAATGACTTATCTCTTGAGGAATTGACAACACACCACAGGCTTGAGAAAGTGTCAAGTGCTTGAGAGAAAAATGAGGAGGAAGAAAAACTAGCTTCTAATGTTCTTGTGGTGGAGGAAGGGAAGGATAGAAAACAACCTCATCAACTGTGCAATGGTGCCAACTTTATAAGGTTTGTTAATTGAAAGAGAGAGTTATTCTAAAATAATTGAGAGAGAGAGAGAGAGAGAATCACATTTTGCCTTATTTGGCCGTGATCACTTTAATTGAGACAGTAATTGTGAGACCCGAACATGCATAACTTGCATGTTATAAATAATGTGGGTTAAAGTGTAAATTACTAATCTTTGCATGTGATTAAAATTATGAGAAGATAACTCTGCAAGGTTAACTATGCTTTAATTAAGGAATTTAATTGTAGAATTATGAGGTAATGGGGAGCAAAGGTGAAATTTTAATAGTGTTGGGAATTTTCAAGTGGTCAAATGTAGAAATAAGAAAAAACAAGGGGGCTTTAGAGCAATTAAGCAAAAAAATGACTCAAACGACACTCGGAAGCCTGCGGAGTCCTCATTCCTCAACTCTTGAAGCAGTGAGTATATAAGAGGGAGTTTGATGCCAACCGGTTGGAGAAAAGAAAAATTGGGACAGAAAAAAAAAAAGAGTTCGTGGGTTTGTGAGGTTTCAGCTGAAAACAATTTGTGTTTTTGAGTTGGTGAGTGAAATCCTTCCTAGAAGCTTGAATGATCTTAGCTTATGCACAAAGAGTGAAGTGATGATGGTGAACTAAAGAGTTGAAAAAGTTTAAGCTTTTGGAAGTGGAATTCGAAAGAGTTCGACGGCTATCGAGTCACAACGAAGGTAATGTATTCTTGTGAATTAATATGTATTTTCACTTCTAAATGTGTCTTTGAGGTATGGGTAAGAGTTAAGTGGTGTTAGAATTGGGTTTGAATGGTAGAAGATAAAATTTGAATGAAGTTTTAAGCTTCAGAACATGGTTCAACCTGTTGAAGAATGCATGAACCGGTTGAACAAGATCTAGATTGTGCTTGAACCAGTTGAATGATACTTTCAATCGGTTGAATGTTGAACAGGTTGAACATTGAACTTGAACCGGTTGAATAGCTCCTAGTACTTCGGGGTTGAACCTGTTAAACTTCAACCAGTCATAAGGGTCCATTTTTACAATTTGTCGATGTTCTACGCTTCCATCCAACTTTTCTATATACTTATCGAGGCTTCTAATATACCTCAAATAAGTTCATTATGAGTTTAATTGCTTACAATTACATCAATTGAAGATTACGTCTAGAATTGAAGAAAGTAAAGTGAATAATTGATAAGTAATGTTTAGGGTGGTTAATGTTATAGAAAATGTGTACATAATTAGATTATATTAAACTGTATAATATAATATATAAAAATCAAAACCAGGGCACTTACATTGACGTAGAAAAGTATAAATAGTAAAATCCAGAAAATCAAAATCCAAAAATCCAATAATAAAAATAATAATTTGAACCCTATGTAATCACAGTTTCCTTAAGACAGATTTGCTCTCTCTCAGTGCTTAAGGTTGATAAGCAACTGTCTCTGTCAAGATAGAATAGATTTCGTTCTTGAAGATGCAGCACTTCAATCTCCAAGATTCCAACGAACACAATTATGTGTTTATACTTGAACTGGACTTGAAATAAGCATGCAACAATATGCAACGAGAGAGAGATAAAAAAAAGACTGAATACTTAATTCAGTATTTTGGATAATTCAGAGAACTAGAATGAGAGAGCACTTCTTGAATTGTTCAATGGTTTGTTTTGGGAGTGCAGAGAATCACTTATTTATAGACTCTCTAGTGACTTTTTCATAAAGGGTATAACCATATGTAACAGTATCTTTTATTCCAAAGGGTATCAATAATGACTTTAGGAAAAGGTACAACCATTTGAAATAGTGTCTTTTAGTTCAAAAGTTATCAATAGTGACTTTATGAAAAGTTGTGACTATTGATAATGGTGTCTTTT